GGGGGGTCCTGAATTAAGATATAATAATAAGAATAGAGACCAAACCAAATCCCATATAAACAAAGACAGGTTAGGTTATGTTCATTATTCAGTAGAAAGACTGCCATCACCAAAGATTAAGGGATTAACTCTAAATTATCCCTTCCCCTGGGCATTCAAACTATTCAGAGCCTTAGAATCATATTTCCAAATTGGCTGGCATCCCCTGCCCCCTGTGGTGCTGGGAGTCAGAGAGGATGATGAGAGCAGATATTAGAATCACAGCATTTTGAAGCCAAGAGAGATCCTAAGACCTCATTTACAGAGAGATAAATGAGATTCAGAGAGGTGGGAAAGGTCAGATTCAAAAGATGCTTTCTTTAAATGTTCGCGGAAAGGGACTATAATGATGTGCAGTGTCTTTGAGAGGGACAGGAGCTCCACTTTGAGGGGAGACATAGAAAGGCTACTGGGACATAGAGAAAAGAGCCCTGGATTTGGGACTGCATGCTGCCTATGTCACTCATTAATGGTGTAGCATTGAGCAAGTCTTGTCTGACTTTCTATTTATAAAATAAAGTGAATGAAGATAAAAGGTCACCATGAGAACCAGGTGGAAATACTCTCATACACTCAAGAAAAATTAGAATCTAGCCTCTCCCTGGTCCTGGACAGTATACAATTCTGTACACATTTTAAATGTGTGGTCTCTTTGTATAGGCCATCAGTGGCGTTAGTCCTGTTTTACAAACAAGGTAACTGAGGCTGAAAGGGATTAAGAAATTTTCCCAAAGGTACACAGACAGCAGATGACATTGCAGAATTAGAACCAGGATTGGTGGGACAACAGAAGGTCTCCTGATTTCTTGACCCTAGTGCAGCCTGTGGTGCATGATCCAGAAACATTTCACAAATAAGTGCTCTTGGAGGAAATGTATTTTAAAAAAGAAGGCATCCTTGTAAATTGCCCCAGAAAGCTTTGTTAACTTCTTAAAAGCAAAATGGTGCACATAAACCATTCTCAAAGACCCATTTAACCTAAAGGGGAATCAGCAGAATCACTGATACATTAATGTTGATATTTAGTCATTTGGAAAGCATCTTTTGGGCCCATCTAGGGCCATTCTGCTAAACATTGGTTTATTAATCTGGCATGATAGTTTTTTTTAAATCAAAGTTGTATTTTATCAGATGTATATATAGTAGCATAATAGCCCCTTCTTTTAAATTGGAGGATTATAGTTATACCTAGTAATCGGGTTCAGTGCAACACAATCCTACAGCATGGAATTCAATTTCAATTCACGTTTCCTGCCTTTTCTGTCCCCTCTTCTCTTCCCTCATTCTCCTTCTTCTACTCTTCTGGTCTTTCTTTCACTCGTCTATTTATTTATTTTTGATTGGTTCTTTCTACTTATGCATAAAGGTGAAATTCCTTGTGGAATATTTTATATGCATATAGCATGATTTTTAAAAATTCATTCTGTGCTTCCCCCCACACACACCAGCCCGCCTCTCTCCCTATCTCCTCCTTCTGCTCTATGACCTTCCCTATGGCCTTATGATACCTGATTCTGCCCTCCTCCTTCCTTTATTTTGCTTATCCCTTGATTTTCTGACTCTGATAGGTCATCTTTTATAATTTATATGGACAATCTATTTATCCTGTTTTATGGGATTTACTATATTGCAGAATACGTGACCAGTTTTTATATACTCTATTTTGCTTTGATGTTTATATTTGGCTAAATCTATAACAGATGCCAAGTTCTTGAGTAATGCTATAATGCTTACCTCCCCCATTATTATATTGTTTCTGTGGGATGAATATAATCTACTTTATAATAATCCACTTTAAAATATGTCTACATTTTTGGGAGAGAGGAACATTCCCTAAATTTCCTCCCACTCCACAGTGGGGCTGGGAAGTGGAGGGGCAGGTAAGGACTGTCTGACCTGGATTTATTTTTATGTGATCCCATGGTTTAAAGTTAACTCTGCTGTTTTCATCGAACGCTCTCTGGGTGGGAGAAAGGAGGAAGGAGATGCAGCATTTTGTAATATGAAAGCACTTCCAAGTGGTTGGATTTAAAAAACATAAACAAAAATCAAAGGCAAACACAGATTTGCTTTTATAGGACTTTAGGTTTCTAAGTTTAAAGTGAAAATTGCCCTGGAAAATCCCAAAGGACAGTGAGGGACTGTCATTCTTAGGCATGTGGGAGCTAAGAGAAACCAAGTGACCTCACACTTGCACCCCCTACGTCACAGAGCAGCTGGAGGTTAAGTTCCCTGAGTCACGTGAAAGATTACACTCTGTCAGTCTTTATCTGTACTCCTCTCTGGCCCAAGTGGGTTCTGCTGCAATCCTACTGGCCACACATGTCTGTGATGTACACAACTCAGGGTCACTCCATCCCTGTGTTCTCCACCTGCAGAAGTGGGGAGCGCAGAGCAGGTTTCAAACTCTGTTCCTCTGCACAATTGGGGTCCAGATCAAGGCAAGTGGCTATGCCTTTGATATCTGAGGTCCTTTTCCTCAAACATAGCGTTTAACATGAAACTTCCAAGCACTCTCCCTGGGCTCAGCAGATTTAACTCTTGAAAAGTGCTGGACTTAGTATTCTGAGTGTTTTATGTGTTTGAAAACAGTGTACACCTACTTAAAACTTTTTTTTTTTGGGGGGGGGGTAAAAACAATTTGAGATAAACCAGAAACACTGGTTTCCCTCTATTTCTCCCCTAACTACCAGTGTTTAAGGAAATGTTACTTAATCTTTCTGGTTTCAGTCTCTGTGTTTACAATATGAAGGCTTTGGGATAAATATTCTAAACTTAAGGTATTACTGCTAAGAACCAGCTAACTTAGAGAATTTCTGGAAACACTACTACCAGCATGTTTCACCAAGCGCTGAATGATGGTGACAGAACATGTTCCTTGAGTATTACTAAGATAACAGGAAAATGGAAGGAGAGCCATTTTCTCTTTATCTTCTTAATTAGTGAGTAAAACAAGTAGTGACCCTACATCAAAAGGTAGTCTCTGTTGTAGGGATTTTCTTTTCTGGGACATAATTACTTTTTTTATTCAAGATACTTTTATTTTGACAAAAAAGAAATACATAATTCTTAACAACTAATGAACCTTTCTATAATTGTTTAGCTCTTTATTACAGAAATTATTCTGTTTTGAAAGTTATCTTGGGAGGCTGGGATTGTGGCTCAGCGGTAGAGTGCTTGCCTAGCATGGGCAGGACCTGGGTTTGATCCTCAGCACCACATAAAAATAAAGGCATTATGTTGTGTCCATCTACACCTAAAAAAAATAAAAATTTTTAAAAAAGAGAAAGTTATCTTGGATCAGTCTTCTTGTAGATGATTTGAAAAGAGGCTAAATTTAATGAGGCTAAATCAGCTTTTAAAACACTTTTCAAGAGTTAAATCTGCTGAGCCCAAGGGAGAGTGTTTTTGTATTGCTTGGAAGTTTCATGTTAAATGCTTTTTCTTGGACATCTTAGTTAAAATATTTGCCAGCACTTTTAGAAAACCTAGAATACCTGGTAGCCAATGTCAGATCATTTGGTTTATGAATGGGCAGTCCTCAAATGACTGTTTTTATTTTTACACCTTTGAAAATACCTCTCTATCCTCATCATTTGCCACTGGGACACATTCCCAGGGAAGCTTCTAGAGGTTTCCAGAGATTTCCATTAACAACTTTCTACACCCTGATCAAGCTGAGCAATTCACAGCTGACTGTATCAGGAGTGCCCTCTTGAGGACAGACTTGTTGAAGGAAACTACAGAAGTTTTCTTTCAGTGAAGTCCCTGTACTTTGTGTCATATCACAGATCAAGGAGAAAAGAAGATATTTCATGATATGCAACATTTTGTTCATTTTTTTTGTTTTTGCCTTCTGTCTCTATTAGGTCAGCCACCATCCACCTATCTCTGCATGTCACGCTGAATCTGGAAATTTTGTTTTCTGGCAAGGTAATGTGCTAATATATTTGACTTCCATTTTATGTAATGATTATAGATTTATTTGATTCAGGAATTACTATGAATGCTTACTAAGATCAAATAATCCCAAGACTTAGGTCTCTTTGGAGGACCTGCTCCACTTGACATTCTCACCTCTTACTTCTAAAGAGTAGTTGATATTTGTCAATTGTTTATTGATATTGAGTGATTTATTTTAATTGATATTAGTTTGATATTTTCAAAAAGATTATTTAGCTTTTCCCTTTAAAAAAATCCTTCATCTTTGTCAGTTTGGCACTATTTATTCCTGTAACTTTTTCTCTATTTTATTCCATGGCTACTTGTCATGCCTCTCTTATTTCAAGAGATACTAAATATTTCCCGGTATTTATCAGAGTATAGATAGCAAGGGAAGTTTTGCTTTCAAAACATTGAAATCTTACTTCTGAAATCACATTTTATATTGATGACTTCTTTTTCATTTTAAGATTGTCATTCCTAAAATTTTGTTCAATTTATATTTTGGATGGGAAAGGGTAGCAAATTGTTGTCAAGAATAAACAAGGCTGTAAATATTTCTGACATGGGTGAATTCATTTTACTAACATCTTCATTTATTAAAAAATAAATTGGAATCTACCTTAGAAATAAAATATGAGCATCCTGGGTTTTCAAACAGTGAGCACATGTCAGTTTTTAAAGCTTTTTTCTCTGCTAACAATGATGTCACCTGATTTCCCACAGTGCCTACAGATCTTTGTAAAACTCAAAAAGTACAAAACAGTAGGCTGTGACTCCATTGCCACCCCCTTCCTCAGCCACCCAGTCCCTCTCTCTGGAGATAATTGATATGATCAGTTTAAAGTACCATGGCTTCCTTTCTCAGTCTTTGCTGTTAAAGTTTAAAATTGAAGCTTGATTTGAAATCTCTCTACCTTTCATGAAACAAAACTCTCTGGAAACAATTCTCCTAAGGTTTCTAATGTCCTAATTGCTAAATCTCATGAATAACTCTTCTTTGCTATTTTGAAGTTATGTTTTTTTGTTGTTGTTGTTCATTTTTGCTTGTCCATTTAGTGGATGGGGTCTTCTCAAGGTAGTCCCTGTGTGCTCCAGGTGGGCCACAGTTTCCTCCTGGACTCTGTTCCTAATCATCCTTTTCCTGGGCAGTTCTTCCTCCAACTATTTTCTGGACAATTCCATATATTTTCAAAGTTCAATGATTCTTAAATCTTTTTTTATCCAATCTGACATTTCTCTGCCTTTTAATTGTGTTGTGTAGATCTTTACACTTATTGCAATTATAGATAGAGTTGTGTTAAACTG